GCACCGTGGCCTCACAGCTAGAAGGTCGGCCGGTGAGGACACCCGGGATCTTCCTGCGTGGAGTCTCCATGTTCTCCCCGTGCAGCGTGGGTTCTCTCCGGGTTCTCCGGCTTCCTCCCACAGTCCAGAAACATGCTGAGGTTAATTGGTGATTGTAAATTGTCCGTAGGTGTGAATGTGAGTGTGCTTGGTTGTCTGTCTCTAAGTGTAGCCCTGTGATAGACTGGTTACCTGTCCAGGTGAACCTGCCTTCACCCTGAGTCAGCTGGGATAGGCTCCGCCCCCCATGACCCTAGTGAGGGTTAAGGTGTAGAGATGATGGATGGATGATCCTGGCTTGGAGTTTCAGAGAATAAAGAACAGAGTGTGTGCAGGTGTTTCCGGGTGTCTGATGTTTCTGTGGTTTTCTGAGCAGGACTTCCCACCGTGTGATTATCGGAGAGCACGATCGCTCCTCCAACTCTGAGGACATCCAGACCATGAGTGTTGGCAAGGTGGGTGACAACCAGCATCCTGTTTAACGTTTATCATCCAGACTGGGTCTGCAGGTATCTGTGGTTCATTCAGTCCAAAAGAACATCTCAGATCTCCACGTCTTCCTTCTTCTCTGCCTTCTTGTGTTTCTCATCACAGAAACCTACATTCATACTTAAATATCTGCAGCTCAACTCTGACTGGTTGTAGTTCCAGTTTAATCCTGACTCCTTATAATTCTAGTTCCAGTTCCTCTGATTCACTTCAACGGATCTACGTTGTGATCTTAGATTCTTAAATGGGTTTGAACTGGTCAGAATGATGCTGGAGGATCTCAAACTGGAACTCTGCCTCCTGAGAATGTGATGACAGATGTGTCCAATCAGAGCTGTGATTCAGTGGCATGATGCTGCAGATCGCTGGAGTTAGAAGCTATGAGGAGTGGGAGGGGCTTGTTGTTCCACATCTGGCAGCTGTGTTGCCTCCAAGTCAGAGCAGTGAGGACCAAGTTCTAGGAAGTTGAACCTCAAGTATCTGAGGAGAATTTTCTCCACATCACATGTCGATGTTCTTCCAGGTGTTCAAGCACCCCAATTACAACGGCTACACCATCAACAACGACATCACGCTCATCAAGCTCGCCAGCCCCGCCCAGCTCAACATCCGTGTTTCTCCCGTGTGCGTGGCCGAGACCGGAGACAACTTCCCCGGAGGCATGAGGTGTGTGACGTCTGGCTGGGGCCTGACCCGCTACAATGGTAAGAACACCTGCTGCACGGGCCAATCAGGGAGCACCTGCAGCACGGGCCAATCAGAGTCAAGTTATCATTATTTTAAACCCCATATGACTGATATTACAAATTTACTCAACAAGTTAAAATATTAATGTTCAGACCCTACAGTGTTAAATTTAAAACAGATTAAGCAAATGAACTTAGATAATAAGGCTGAGAACCAATCATACGATTTACACTAACAAAGACTAATTTGGAAGTTCTATGTATAAAACTTCTGTAAAATTCCACATCACAGAGACGCCTGCAGTGCTGCTAAAGAATCTAAATGATGAAACAAACACAACATCGGTTTGTTGACATAACTTTAGCTTCCTCTTTAAATGCTGCAACAGACTACTTCCTGGCAGCTTGTTGTCCTCGCTGATACTGAACTTAGTTTTCAGGTGGATGCTGACCTTCAGTCACTTATTGCATAACAGACTTGACCGTCCAACTCCTGCTGTGTTCCACACCCGAAAAAATTATGTTTGGACCCAACAAAAAGAAGCTGACACAACATTTTGGATCAATCTTTTGAGGTCAGACAACTTCTAAGGAGATAACGTTGAGCCAACCAACTACACGGAGTTAGAGGAACTGGCTTTTCCACTTCTGTCAAAGGTGTTTTTAATTAGCTAATGAGTGGCACCATAAACACACTAAGCTATTCCAGCTAGGATTTTTATGTTATTTAAAAGGATTTTAAGTACCGTGTGCTCAATAACCATAGTTATGAGTAAATGGTGAATGTTCTGCACGTACAGAGAGCCTTTCTACCTCAGTGCTACTCAAAGCGCTTCACACTGTTTCTCATTCACCCATTCACACTCATTCATGCACCAGCGGTGACAGAGCTGCCATGCAAGCTGCTGCCTGCCATCGGGAGCAACTTCTGGTTCAGTGTCTTGCCCACGGACACTTCGGCAGTGAGCCGCCGAGTACAAGTTCTTAAATTGGAAATTTAAAAAAAAATGAAGTTGCTGTGGTGTTTAGTAAGTTGAGGGAGGGAATCCTGACGTCAAGGTTAAGAAAAATTAAGTTACGTCAGCTGGAATTTGGATAATTTTATCTCTACAACGGGAAAAATCCTTTTGGTTAACATGTGAATATCTCGCTAAAAGTGGTGACAAAGGGTCTCAAGTAGACACTAATCCAGTGTGTTTGGCCTCTTATGGGGCCACCAGGGGGAGCTGTAACCAAGGGAGCAGTCTGACCACTGGGGGCAGTATAGAGCACAGCACCACAGTTGATGTGTTTTTGTGTTGCAGCTGCTGACACCCCCGCCCTCCTGCAGCAGGCCGCCCTGCCTCTGCTGACCAACGATGAGTGCCGCCGTTTCTGGGGCAGCAAAATCACCGACCTGATGGTCTGCGCCGGCGCCTCCGGAGTCTCCTCCTGCATGGTGGGTAGAGCCTCGGTCAGAAGAAGTAGCGCCCCTCAGTTTGTATCGTCCTGCTCACCTCTGTGTTGTCTTTCAGGGCGACTCTGGCGGTCCTCTGGTCTGCCAGAAGGCCGGAGCCTGGACTCTGGTGGGTATCGTGTCCTGGGGCAGTGGGACCTGCAGTACCTCTATGCCTGGTGTCTACGCCCGCGTCACTGAGCTGCGCTCCTGGATGGACCAGATCATTGCTGCCAACTGAGCATGTCAGACAGGAAAGCTTCAACCTGATCCTGAATAAAACCCAGAAACTCTGAGACTGAGACTGGTGTCGTTTGTTCACTCTGAGCTCTGATAGTGGTTCATACTAAACGTCTTGTGTTTGTCTCTGAGATGGAGCGCTGCTCTTCTCCTTCATACCTCTGAGTCTGTTTCCTTTTAACACTTTGTCACTGATTAAATGACCAACAATCATCACAAATGTCCTTTTTTACTCATAACAGCAGTAACTACACCATTCTATCTCTTAAACAGCTCTGAACTGCATCAGTTCTCAACAACAGCATTTTTTCTGAGTGGAACAGCAGAATATTTCCTCTAATGAACAGAAACTAATCATTTATTAAGACTATATTGAAAATTCAGGCTCCGAAGTAGAAACTTAAAGAACCAAACTGAGTCCAGCTGTGGTTCCATCAGTCCACCTGCATGAACATGGTTCTACAAGGAGCTGAGAGCAGCAGAACCTTCTCAGTTCTGGACCGTTGGACTGTGTCTATCTATGTCTGCATCATGGCTCCACATGGAGAAGACCTGAACAGAGGAGGAGAAACATCTGACTGAGAGACTGGACAAAGATGGAAAAGGATCCAGAAGATCAGTGAGCAGCTAGAACCCAGTGCAGCCCAGTGTGAGCAGGAACCAGGAGGTCCAGAAGGAGCCACAGCAGCACTGATCAGGGCTGCAGTGGTCGTCCTCCTACAATGACTCCACGGACAGTCAACTACTGTCACTATGGAGCTGTGGACACCAGACAAAGGCAGCTGCTTCAGACTTGGCACAGGGCTGATCAATGGAGACCAGAGTTAGTGTGAAGCTCACACAGTGTGAAGGACACTTCAGAACATCAGCCTCTATGGACGGAGGAGCAGAACTAAACCTGGCTGCTGCTCACAGCTAAACTTCCACATCAAAGTTCACCAGAGAACATGAACAGAAGCCTGATGGATGCTGGAGAACATCCTCTGGTCAGATGGAGATCAATGTGTTGGGCTCACATGGAGTCCAGATGTTTGGTGTGAACCTGACCAGGACCACCACAGTGGATGCATGGTCCTGACAGTGAAGCACGGAGGTGGCAGCATCATGATGTGGGGCTGCATGAGGGCAGAAGGTGTTGATGACGTTTCTAGAAGCTCCATGAATGTCTGAGGATGAACCAGGATACTGGCTGACCAGATGAAGAAGAGGAACATTCCAGCAGGAGAACATCCACAGAACAACATCATCAGGAGCTTCTACACCAGAACCAGGTGGAACCAGGACCTGGACAGTGTGAGTCCTGGTCTGAGTCCACCAGAAGCCCTTTGAGGTGTTTTCCAGAGACATGGAAGTGCTCCTTTTGTTGTGTTCTGTACTAAACATCGGCGCAAAACACTTATTCCAAATATACAGACCTAAAAAAGGGGAAAAAAGTAATTTAAAGAAATGCATCAGCTGCTGACATGTGACCTGTTCTCTTGAAAATCAACTTCGACTCCTAATTCCTTTCTATGTTAAAACGTTATCTGACATATGTAGGGGTGGTTTCCATGGAAACGATCTCTTGTCTTTACCTGTCTTAGATGTAACTCGACACTGTTGCTTCTTCTACAATGTGAAGTCTGTGCAGCTCAGCACACCAGCTCACCTACACATGTGCTCACTGTAAAGACTGTAATATCAGAGTGCTTCAGCCCAATGTTGGAACCACAAGAAAGTTTCACCTGCAGCTGGCAGGATCCGTTCTGTCTGAAGCTCGGGGTGTCTGAGTCTGTTTCTGAGACTGTCATCAGTCTGAAGCTATAATGAGTCTTCCAGCAGATAAAAACACCACATTTCCCAAGTTAGAACCTGGGTTTGCATGGAGGTCTGTTCAGGATCAAACATTTGGGGAATAAAGGGAGCTGTACTCTGTGATGGAGGTCTGCATCTTGGTGTGTTCAGCACCTAGCTGGAGTCAGGCTGTGGTAGCTTAGCTTAGCATAAGGCTAGGAGGTGAGCGAAACAGCTAGCCTTGCTCAGGCTGTTCAAAATATTTCTGCCTCCATCTTTAAAGCTCACAAACGGATTCTCACGAATCAGCAGGTTCAGAATCACTCACACAAACTCTGTGGATTTAAACATGTATTTTTTCTCAGCAGAGCACATTTAAAGATCATCGACATGTTTCCTGTCAGCAGCATCCTTCTTTCTGCTGTCAGGTGACTCTTCAGGTACGCCGTGGCGGGCAGGCGTGGCCGACTCGGCGGCAGTAGCAGATGGCGTTGAAGAAGCGGCAGTAGCAGGTGTCACAGGGGTCGCAGCAGGGCAGCGGGTAGCCCAGACAGGACTGCTGGTGAGGGATGCAGCGACGCGGCGAACGCATGGCCCGACCCTGCAGCTGCAACGCTGCCGACGCATCCTGCAACACACGGAGACAACAGGTGGATCCACAGAACAGACGGTTCTGCACTTTCACTGTGTGTAATTAAGGGCTACCATCCCATCACAGGGGGAGCAAAACCGGACTGCTGGTCCGAAAACTGCACCTCATCATAGGAGCCTCCGTCCATCAGGAAGTGATCCTCCACCGAGTCTTCGGGCAGGAGGGCGGGGTCATGTACAGGGTCAGGGGCGTGGCCTCTCTCTGCAAAACACACACCTGCTGCTCACCTGAACTCCATCATTGCACACCAGCTACGGAGCTCAGTAACAAACGTGATGACATGCAAAGCGAACAAACAGCCGAGCTCAGAAACATGAACTCCGGCTGACGTCTGACACGTCTGTGGAAGAAGCAGGACAAAGATTCAAGTGTTTGGATGATTCCTTCACAGAGTCTCTGGAGACTCAGACTAAATGATAAACCTTCACTTTACAAGTGGATGTAAACTTCATTTCATGACTGTGCAGTTGTTAGGGATGTTCTGATCCAATCTGAAAGGCCAGGACCAACTGGTCTTATCTGAGCCTGACCTGTTTACATCTGCTGTCACACAGGTGTCATGAAGAGAGAACACAGTCGCTGTGAGGCTACGCCAGATCAATAATCACCATAACACACACTGATCACAGTGAATATTAGAGCTGGACTTTCAGTCACCAGACTCATGGGTTGCTCTTCAGTCAGCTCTGCTCCACCTGTCACTGATCCACACAGTCCTGAACACCTGAGTTCTGGTTGGAGGTCCTGAACCTCCTCAGAGTCTCTGTCATGGTCCCGCTGCTGCTAAACACCCACAATGCTCTCTGCTGCCACCAGGAGCTGTAGTGTGTAGACGCCTCCTCTGGTCTCTACAGGACTAAACAGGAAGACGTTTGTGGTTCCCTCAGATGCTCAGCTGAAGAAGAACAGACAGAACCGGTGGAACTCTGTCTGACCTCATGATCCAGGTTTACCTGTAACATCAGAGCCAATAAACTAAACAACAGAACCGATCATCTGCTTTTAGGAACTGAGCTCAACTTTTAACTCTCTCACCTAAAACCTGCAAACACTTGTTTCATTGTTCATGAAGTTTCTGGTGACAGACAACAGAAACAGTCCCTGCAGTGACAGGTGCTCAGGTGACAGAGGACGGACAGGTGCTACTGACCCATGTCGGACAGGTAGGAGGTGTCGGTGCGGCGGCCGGCGGCTGGAGCGTCGTCCAGCTGGATGTTTCCATGAACCAGAGACGAGGAGAGCCTGAGCAGACTGAAGGAGCAGCAGCAGAGCAGCACTGAGCCAAACATCCTGCTGCTGACAGGAGAAGAAGAATCTGCACCGGAACTCCCACAATTCTCAGCTTCTCCACCAGGAACCTGCCAGGAACAAACACAGGCAGCTTCATTCACTACAACCGTCATTTCATACACAGCAGTTTCCAAGTCATGAGCTCCAGGCTGAACATCTCTGGAAACAGATGTTCAACCTGGAGCTCATGTCGTCTCCTCGTCCTGCAGATGTTCAACATTCTTCATGTTCCTGCCGTCTCCTCTCTGCTCATCGGCCGTAGAAAGATGTTCCACCATCAGTAGAAAGATGTTCCACCATCAGCTGAATGTATCTCCACCAACTGGCTCCTCTGGTCTCTGGTTCTGATCCGTGCTGCATCCATTCATTGATCCAGTAGGATGGATTCTCCTTCAGTCTCTCTGAGGAAACTCTGGCTGCAGTGGAGGATCAGACCCAGGAGGAGGAAGGTTCTGGTGCTACAGGATCAGAACTGGGAGGGTTCTGGTTCTGGTTCTACAGGATCAGAACCGGGAGGAAGAAGGTTCTGGTTCTACTGGATCAGAACCAGGAAGATAACTGTAGATGATGTATAACTTTATCAGTTCTGGTGATAAATGATTTGGTCTCTATGATTCTTCAGAACTCTTCCATTGAAGGGTTCGGTTCCATTCAGGTCCGTTTCTGTCGGATCTTTGCTGCTGTGATTCTAAAACCAGAACATTTGAATTTCACTTATGACTCAGTTTATTTTTCAGCACAAAAAACCTCAGTCGGTGTTTTATTCTTCAGGAACTGAACAGAATTAAATCTGGTCCGGTTCAGAAAGCTGCTCCTTGAAGAACCAGCAACAAGCGTTTCTCTGATCCGACCCGATTCATCATCTGACACATGAACAGAGCATCTGGACCATTCATTCACTGATATTAGACGAACCGTCCTGCAGCACGGGAAGGGAAAATCACACACACACACAC